CTGCTCCTTTGGTTGTGCTGTGCACCCCGCTGCTCCTTTGGTTGTGCTGTGCACCCCGCTGCTCCTTTGGTTGTGCTGTGCACCCCGTTGCTCCTTTGGTTGTGCTGTGCACCCCGCTGCTCCTTTGGTTGTGCTGTGCACCCCGCTGCTCCTTTGGTTGTGCTGTGCACCCCGCTGCTCCTTTGCTTGTGCTGTGCACCCCGCTGCTCCTTTGGTTGTGCTGTGCACCCCGCTGCTCCTTTGCTTGTGCTGTGCACCCCGCTGCTCCTTTGCTTGTGCTGTGCACCCCGCTGCTCCTTTGGTTGTGCTGTGCACCCCGCTGCTCCTTTGGTTGTGCTGTGCACCCCGCTGCTCCTTTGGTTGTGCTGTGCACCCCGCTGCTCCTTTGCTTGTGCTGTGCACCCCGCTGCTCCTTTGGTTGTGCTGTGCACCCCGCTGCTCCTTTGCTTGTGCTGTGCACCCCGCTGCTCCTTTGCTTGTGCTGTGCACCCCGCTGCTCCTTTGGTTGTGCTGTGCACCCCGCTGCTCCTTTGGTTGTGCTGTGCACCCCGCTGCTCCTTTGGTTGTGCTGTGCACCCCGCTGCTCCTTTGGTTGTGCTGTGCACCCCGCTGCTCCTTTGGTTGTGCTGTGCACCCCGCTGCTCCTTTGGTTGTGCTGTGCACCCCGCTGCTCCTTTGGTTGTGCTGTGCACCCCGCTGCTCCTTTGGTTGTGCTGTGCACCCCGCTGCTCCTTTGGTTGTGCTGTGCACCCCGCTGCTCCTTTGGTTGTGCTGTGCACCCCGCTGCTCCTTTGGTTGTGCTGTGCACCCCGCTGCTCCTTTGGTTGTGCTGTGCACCCCGCTGCTCCTTTGGTTGTGCTGTGCACCCCGCTGCTCCTTTGGTTGTGCTGTGCACCCCGCTTCTCCTTTGGTTGTGCTGTGCACCCCGCTTCTCCTTTGGTTGTGCTGTGCACCCCGCTGCTCCTTTGGTTGTGCTGTGCACCCCGCTGCTCCTTTGGTTGTGCTGTGCACCCCGCTGCTCCTTTGGTTGTGCTGTGCACCCCGCTGCTCCTTTGGTTGTGCTGTGCACCCCGCTGCTCCTTTGGTTGTGCTGTGCACCCCGCTGCTCCTTTGGTTGTGCTGTGCACCCCGCTGCTCCTTTGGTTGTGCTGTGCACCCCGCTGCTCCTTTGGTTGTGCTGTGCACCCCGCTGCTCCTTTGGTTGTGCTGTGCACCCCGCTGCTCCTTTGGTTGTGCTGTGCACCCCGCTGCTCCTTTGGTTGTGCTGTGCACCCCGCTGCTCCTTTGGTTGTGCTGTGCACCCCGCTGCTCCTTTGGTTGTGCTGTGCACCCCGCTGCTCCTTTGGTTGTGCTGTGCACCCCGCTGCTCCTTAGGTTGTGCTGTGCACCCCGCTGCTCCTTTGGTTGTGCTGTGCACCCCAGTCGTTTCTTGCTTCTCCGCTCGTCTCCCGTTTTCACCCGCCCTTTCCCGTTGTCTCCCGTTTTCACCCGCCCTTTCCCGTTGTCTCCCGTTTTCACCCGCCCTTTCCCGTTGTCTCCCGTTTTCACCCGCCCTTTCCCGTTGTCTCCCGTTTTCACCCGCCCTTTCCCGTTGTCTCCCGTTTTCACCCGCCCTTTCCCGTTGTCTCCCGTTTTCACCCGCCCTTTCCCGTTGTCTCCCGTTTTCACCCGTCCTTTCCCGTTGCCTCCCGTTTTTACTCTTCCTTCTGCCGTGCCTATCTGGTCTCGACCCGCGCCCATCTGGTCTCGACCCGTGGCCCCAACAGGACGTACAACCCCGAGGAGGGCCGTGGCAGGAAGAACCCCGCCACGCAGGAGCAGGCAATGGAGGAGCTCGTTGCGGTGGTGAGCGGTGGAGAGGAGTGGGTGGAGGGATGTGCGGGTGGTAAGCGCTGGTGGCGGTGGTGAGTGGTAGTAATAGCATTGGTGAGTGGTGGAGAGCGTGAAAGAGCGTGAAATCTAATTGACGACCGTTCCCCACTCGTCCCCTCTGCCCCTTGTTTGTGTTCCTGCCTTCCCTCCCACGTTTAATATCTCCCTGTCGCATCACATCATCTCTCTCTCCCGTTTCCCCCAGGTGACATCCACCAAGCCTGATGGCTTCACGCCCACCATCATCACTCGCCGTCCCGACTACCTCTACGTGGAATATGAGAGCCCGCTCATGGGGGTGAGTTAAAGCCCGCTCATGGGGGTGAGTGGCGCTCATGGGGGTGAGTGGCGCTCATGGGGGTGAGTGGCGCTCATGGGGGTGAGTGGGTCAGGTGGCATGTAAATGAGGATGAGTGCGATGGGTGGCATGTGAGTGGGATGGGTGCATGTGGAAGGGGGTGTTCTGCCAGTGCCACCATCATCACTCGCCGCCCCGACTACCTCGACCTGGAAGACAAGCCCCGACTACCTCGACCTGGAAGACAAGCCCCGACTACCTCGACCTGGAAGACAAGCCCCGACTACCTCGACCTGGAAGACAAGAGCCCGCTCATGGGGGTGAGTGAGTTGAATGGGTGGCATGTGAGTGGCATGAGTGCGATGGGTGGCATGTGAGTGCTGTGAGTGCGATGGGTGGCATGCATGTGAGTGGTTTGTGGACTCACATGGTATGAAGGGGCGTCTTGTCTGCCTTTCACTGCAACCCTCTCATGTGAAACGGGCTCTCGTGCCAGTGTGGAGTTCTGCTTCCCCTAGACAGCCACTCCCTGCTGGAGTACTGCAGCTGTTGCTGCCAAGGTCTCGCCTGCCTGCTCACCCCCTTCCCCCTGAACCCCCTCCTTCCCCGCCCGCCCACTCCCCCCTCCGTTTCAGTATGTGGATGACGTGGAGTTCTGGTTCCCTCCTGGCAGCCGCTCCCTGGTGGAGTACCGCAGTGCGTCGCGGCTGGGGGAGAGCGACCTGGATGCCAACCGCAAGCGCATCAAGGTGCGTTGGTGGGGGCAAGCGGGCGAAGGTGGGAGGGGTGGGGGGATGAGAGTGGGGGGCCAGGGGGGAAGGGGTGAGAAGTGAATAGATGGGGTATGCATGCCATGGCAGCGAACCACATCCGCCGCATGGTTTGTCAATGACGGAATCTCGCCTTTCCACGCTCGCTTGCACTGCATGGCGGCTAAGTGGTATGCGCCTTTCCACACTCCCTTGCCTTTCCTGTGCACCCTCCTATTGAATCCGCCTTCCATCGCCATCGCATGCATTCCCAAGCCTTGGAGCGGGGCTTTAGTGAGGTGAGCTTTAATGGGCCCAGCAAAGCCGAGAAATGAAGGGAGCGTGAGAAGGCACACTTGCCCCGCTCCCATCTCCCCCATGTCCCCCAAGTACAATGCAGGCCCTGTGGGTGGAGCTGCACAAGTATGGCTGGGCTTCCATTCACTGGGCCGCTACACCTGGGCACAACGTCTCGTTCTTGCCTCTCAAACCCTCCTCTCCTCCCTTTCTCCCCCCCGTCGTTCCTTCCATGCCTCTCTCGCTGCCTCTCTCCATGCCCCTCTCCCTGCTCCTCCCTTCTGTCCCCATGTGCATGGCAGGCGCTGCGGGTGGAGCTGCAGAAGTATGGCTGGGCCTCAGTGGGCTACTAAGGGGTGGGTGACCCACTTGGGGCTTGCTGCTTAAGTGCCATTTGCAAGCAAGCACGGATGCCTTCGTTTTATCCCACGGGTTGCTTTCACATGGAATCACCCCAAGGTGCTGCTAAATGATTCTTTGTGAGATTAAATCAATGGTAACGAAGGACAGTGTGGGTGGCATGCTAGGCTGCTTGCAATGCAGCTCGATGCATATAATATTTTCTCAATACTGTAATCCTCTGGCCAAAAATTTTGCCTACCATAACACTTGTATTCGAAGCCTGTATTGCTCACCCTTGTCCAGCTAGGTATCTGGACAAAAAAAAATATTTACCCTTCACACTCTAGTTTTTGCCTTTACGTACCACCTGCTCATCAATCTCGTGTACAACATTCAAGCAGGGCTGTTGCTTGCCCTGGGCCCAGAACTTAGCGGGCTGAGGTGGCCTAAATTCAGCCCTTAATTTTCCGGGTAAAGTCAGATTCCAACACTTACATTCAGGGCTATACATCCTTCTGCACTTGAGCGTAAACACATCGTGTGAGTAGGTTGATGTTCAAATACACCTAAGGGCTGCGGTACAGCAGATACATAAGCCGATCTCAATGCAGCGGGGTGAAGTGTAGTAGGATTGTTTTACGTAAGCAGGGAAGGAGAAACAAGGGAAACAAGGGGGTGGGGGAGTAGGGAAGGGCGCTGAACGTATACGTGAAATCCGGATTAGGAGCCAAACCAGTCCTTAAGAAAAACGGGCTGGCCTCAAAGCCAGCCCTTGAATTCTCTGAGTTAGGCGCAAACAAGCACTTGAATTCAAGGACAAAAAGGGCAAATGCCCTTGTAGCGACAGGCCTGCATTCAAGCTCTGTTGTATACGCCCTGTTGGTATAAATTCAGCTAGTTCTTGAGTACTACAGGAAAAGGTAAAGCTCACAAAAGCCAGGACACTTTTTTTTTTGGAATTTCAAACTCCTCTGTTGGAATTGCGCTTCGGCAAAGTCGTAGGAAGGCGTGTTTACCTGAGAAACTGACACACCGAAATGTAGACTGTAACCAGCGGGACTGAAACAAGGAAAAAAAGATGCGAGATTGAACAGGCGACGAGACTTCGTGATCCACTTGCGAACAATCACGTCTTCTGTTACAGTGATGAATACAATCGCAAAAACAATAATAAGGAAACCGTCGATTCCTAAATTGGACGTGGCGCGCCCTTAGCAGAACCACTTCGTCAACTTGGTATTGATCTTATTCGTGAATACGACCCTTCATCTCCGCACAACCATCCCCCTCCCACACAGTGAGCAGCCATGTTTCGTATTGCAGCTGACCATTGGCGTGTCACTGCCTGGAGGTGTCGACACGGCCTCCACTAGCGCACCCCTGCTGTTTTATCGACTGCTGTCCGCCGTAACTCCGCCGCTTTGTAGAGTTGAGTTTTGGTGATGTCGCGAGCTGGTCACCGCTCCGTGACCCGCCAGCGAAGATTGACAGCAAAGGTGATAAATGCGATGAATGCGCGAACCGTGAGAAATGTGAGTGACGCGAGAGATGCGATAAATGCGACGGATGCAATGTGTGGGCGGAACGGGCAGAATGGGATTATGGGCGAGCGTGGCGAGGCGAGTATACGAGAGAACGTGGAAGCGACAGTGATCGTAACGACGGGAAGGAGCCGCGAAGAGGAACCGGATGGAATTAAGAGGGCGATGGCGGAACTTGAGGAGTGGATTGAGAGGAAGATTGAGGCGATTTCCGCGCCGGTGGATGCGATTCGGACGGAATGGGAGGGCGGCGCGGCGGCGAAACGACTCGGTACGGCAGGGCGCAAGCGAGCACGTATGACGGATGGGTCCTCAGAACCGATGGTGATGGTGAGTGCGAGTCGCACATGTTTCGCATGTGTCGCACACGTCGCCCGTGTGTCGCGCACGTCTCACATGCGCCGCAGATGTCATGCATGTCGAACCATGAATATACCATCCGCGGTAAGCGTAAGGCGAGTGAAGAGGCAAAATGCGTGGACTCAACCCCATCGTCCGCCCGTTTCCCTGCCCTTCCAACCATATATTGAGGGCCCTGCCATGAGTCCATGCAGAGTCCATCAGCCCATGCAGAGTCCATCAGCCCATGCAAAGCCCATCAGCCCATGCAAAGCCCTTCAGCCCCCCCGCCCTACCCCCCACCCCTTCCCACCATGTCCTCCCCCTTTCTCCCATCCCCCTCACCGTTTCCCCCCATCCCCTCCTTTCCCCACCCTACCTCCCCTCCTCCTTGTTCCCTTTCCTCCTTTCCTTGTTCCTGCTTCCCCTTCCAGCAGCAGCATCTGGCCGCGCTGTCAGCCCATGCGGAGGCCATCCGAGAGGTCTCGAAAGGGCGAAGGCGTGGAACCCGAAACCTGCCGCCTACCGACCCCCAATCCCCCATTTCCGCCCTCTGTCCCTTTCTTCTCCGTCCTAACAGCAGCATCTGGCCGCCCTGTCGGCGCACGCTGAGGCCATCCGAGAGAAGGTGCGCGGAGTGGGGAGGTCTGTGCGCGGACCTGAGGGGCGGAAGGCGCAGGGGGGGGAAATGGAGGGCGGGGATGAGCGGGGAGAGAACAAGGAGGAGCGAAGTGGGGAGGAGGAGGGAAAGGAGGATCAGGGTAAGAAGGAAAAGGAGGAGGAAGGGGGGAAGGGGGAGAAGGAGGGGGAAGGGGAGAAAGAGGGGGAAATGAGGGACAAGGAGGAGGAGAAGACGATTGATCTGGTAGACGAGACAACGGAGGAGGTAGATGAGGAAATCTCGAAGAGGAACTACGCTGGAGAAGCAAGGGAGGAGTTGACGCTTGGGCTGAAGGACGGGCGAGGAGAAGCGCCAGTGGTGGCAGCAGGAGAGAGGCTGGGAAGGGAGGAAAGAGAAGGGCGCGTGGGAGAATCTGAGTCGCTTTTGAGAATTCTCAAAAGGGAGGGAGAGGCCGGGAGGGGTGAGGGGGATGACGATGCAGAGGAGTGTGAGCGGGTTGAGGAGGCTGAGGAGGACGTTATGGAGGAGAGAGTTGGGGATAACTGTCACTCAGATGAGGTGAGCGGTGTCGGTTGGGGGAGGTTCCACACTTCTTCACTCAATGCTATGAGAGCATCCAGTTACAAATCCTCAGCCCACTTTTCATTCGACCTAGCATGGAGAGAATGCGAACCATGGCACAGCTAAGTGCTCTAGAAGCATCACAGCTTCTTACACATCCATCGCGCTGCTTCTCACTTGCATCATCATGGAGTGAATGTGAAGAAAGGTGCAATTGATTCCCCATGCAATTGATTCCCCATGCAATTGATTCCCCATGCAATTGATTCCACCCATGCAAGACGGTTGTGACTCTTAGAAAGTATCACCTTCTTAGAGGGGCTTATGCAAGCTTCATGACTCTAGTGCCAAAATGGAACCATGTGGGCCTATTGTGTACTATTCTGATTTGCCACTAACAGTCATGTGAGACTGATTCTCATTGGCTTGATAGATTCACACTCCCATGCCATCACTCCTTCCCATCGTTTCTTTCCTTGCCATCGTTTCTTTCCTTCCCATCGTTTCTTTCCTTCCCATCATTTCATTCCTTCCCATCGTTTCTTTCCTTCCCATCGTTTCTTTCCTTCCCATCGTTTCTTTCCTTCCCATCTCCCAACTCCGCTCCTTCCATTCCCCCCACGCTTGTCTCGATCCTTATCCGTCTTTCCACCTCCCATCCCAGCTATGCAGAGCCAGACTCACACACTCTCATTTGTTTTTCCCATCATCCTTCCCCACACACTCTCTTCTGCTCTTCCTTCCTCCTCACACATATGCTCCCTTTCCCCATCCCTACGCTTTGCCCCCCCTGCTCGTTCCACTCCCGTTTCGCTCTTTCTGTGTTCCGTTTCTTATCACATACTCTTTGTTGCGTTCACTCTCATTTTTCCATCGTCCCAAGCTGATTATCTGCTCCCCTCCCTTATCTCACAGCCCCTCGGCACCGCGGAAGACCCCTCCTTTCTGCATTCTAAGGGAGAAGAGCCGGAAAAAGTGGCAGAAAAGGAGACTGGGGCATGGGAGAAGATGCAGGGCAGCATGATTGCAGGGAGGCGCAGGCGGGTGAGCATGGTGGGGAGTGAAGAGTGGGAGTATGGCGACTGGGAAGGGGCAAATGAGCCGCTGGCAAATGAGCCGCTGGCAAATGAGCCGCTGGCTTCGACCCCTTAGTGTCTGTGGAGCGATGGGCACGGGACGCAGGGCTGTGCCGAGCAGCAGCAGCAGCAGCAGCAGCAGCAGCAGCAGCAGATGTGCAAGGTTCAGCAAGCGAGGGAGGAGCTTCACTTGAAGAGGTGCAGAGTGCATTGGGTGGCGGCAATCCAAGTGAGAGCGAGCTCAAGACGCGTGTGTGGGGGGAGATTGACACTTTACTGTGGCTCTCGCGGCGAGAATTCCCCTCTGATATGGAACGGCTTATGGAGAAATGTGCCCTCGCTGCAGCTGTCCACTTTCTCTCCTCTCTGCCCCTCACGGAGCAGCAGATCAACCCCGCAGAGGAGCACATCGCCCCCCCAACTGCTGCTCCACATAAGGCCCCCCTTCCTGCCCATCAAAACCCCGCTGCTGCTGCGCCTCCGAACACCCCAGGATCGCAGCAGATCGGCCCTGCACCGCAGCAGATCGCCCCTGCACCGCAGCAGCTCACCCCCCCATCACAGCACATCGCCCTCAGCGGCTGCCGCCTCAACCACTTTCTCACCCTCGCTCCCACCTACCGCCCCACCCTCCTCCCGTCCCTCGCCTCCCTCACGACCTACCGCACCTCCGTCTCTCCCCGCGACATGCTCTCCCTCCTCCGCCTCCCCGCCCTCACCTCCCTCTCCTTCCATCAAACCCGCATTGTTCCCGAAGCCCTGCTGCTCATCCAGTCCTTCTCTCGCCTCCATCGACTCATCCTGGACTGCCCCGGGCCATCAGCTCTGGCCTTTAAGCCTTCAAAGGGGACCTGGCCGTTGAGAGGTCTGAGGGAGCTGCATGTGAGTCGGGTGACTGACTCTGTCCTGCAGCAGGTGGGGATGCTGACAAGCCTGGAGGTATTTTCCTGCACGTGCAGCGAGGGGGTGAGTTTCAGGGGCTGGATGTCCCTGCAGCGGTTGCGACAGCTGAGACGGCTCCGAGTGGCACCAGCACATCTGGACCGTCATGCTTTGAGAATGGACTACCCCAACGGCCGCTTGCCGACAGTTTCGCAGGCGTTTAAGAGGCTGGTGAAGATGCAAGAGGGTGCTGTTTCTCGGGAGAAGGGTGTTAAAGAGTTGGCGCACTTGAAAAGATTGAGGAGGAAAGAGGATCATGATGATGATGGCGGTGTGTGGACTGTCGCGAGCATGCTGCAGCGTCTGCAGTGCCTGGAGCTGCATGGAATCCCGCACTCTACTTACACCTGCGTCTCTGTCAGAGCTCTGCCTTCTCACCTCTCTCCACATCACCGGCACTTGCCTTGACAACGACGCGTTCACACGGTTGACTCGCTTGACCTGGCTGACCCACCTCAGCCTCGCCGGGTGCACGTTCACAACTGACGGTCTCGTGATGAAAATAGCACACTACCTGCCGAACCTCGTGTTTCTCGACCTGTCAGGAACGGCCATCACCCAGAGCGACACCGTCAACATGCAATCCCTGAAGCACTTGAAGCACTTAAAGCTGCAGCAGTGCTGCAACATTGGCGGGCCGTTTGTGCGGTACCTCTGCCTTGTGCCTCGGCTCAAGGTGCTGGACCTGGGCTTTAACAACATGCCGGCTGTGTGGTTGACGCATATTGTTGACGGGAAGAGAGTGAGAAAGCTGAGTGTGAGGGGGTGTGGGTACATAGGGAAGACGGTGCGTGGGCTTGAGCGGCCGTGGATTGTGATTGAGACCTGATGTGATGGTGGTTGTTGGGATTCAACATGTATGGTCTGTGGTTGGTGTTGCATGGCTGATCGTATGGGACATGTGTTGTATGGGATGTGTATGGCATGTGGTATATGGCATGTGGTGTATGGGATGGTGTACGGCATGTGATGCATGGCATGTGGTGCATGGCATGTGGTGCATGGCATGTGGTGCATGGCATGTGGTGCATGGCATGTGGTGCATGGCATGTGGTGCATGGCATGTGGTGCATGGCATATGTGAGCATGTGATGGTCCATTCCTGGTGTCTCAGTGAATCGGTACGTGGGCTTCAGTCCAATGGCCTTATATTTATGTAAGGTTGTGCTTCAGTGGCCGTATATCTATTTGTGGGTGGTACATACTTATGGGGAAGTATTCATCGGTGGGGTGGTAGAACTTCATGGAACATGGGAGCATCATGCATGATGCATGGTGTATGAGACATTATGGAGGATGTGCATTACTAATACGGTAAGATGTTGGAGATTGTGAATATTTTCAGTTCAACACCAAGACCCCTAGGGGTGACTACCGGACTGGGCGAACATTGTATCGCCATTTTGTATGACCTGGTAGATATTCCAGAGATTTCCTGTTCCGCTTAGGCATCCATCCGCCAGTGGTTTTTTACACTCTGTCCGTAGAAATACTTGCCAGCAGGCAAAATAGTGACCCCCCCCTTCTAGTTGGGTCCAACTTGAATCAGATGGTAAGCACAAGTTAGAAATATATCGAGCTTGCACAGTAACCTAGCAGGGCTGGTGTACCCAAACGTTTGTGCAAGAACTTCGACCAATCAAGAGCATCGCCCCAATGTGCAGAGACACAAACGGGCCCATATGGTTTTCGCACAGTAGGGCGATTGTGTTCCGCCGCTCCCAATCAAAAAAGTGACCACCCACCCAACGTTTCCTAGAGCAACACAACACACACTGGACACGCCCTACCAAAATACTACGCATACTCGTCACGCCAAGCACACGACTCACTCTCCTATCGCCAACACCCAGCCGCCTCCCTTCCAAACATTGACGTCCACAGCTAATAACGTAAATTAGTCCAGCAATAGAGTGTCGTCAACTGCATTCGAACGAGTTTAGGGTCTGACGAGGACGGCCTGCCGCGGGATCGCCAATACCTCCGCTATTCCTCGACTCTTCAGCTATTGTACGCATTCCATGAAATGCTGACAGGCATAGGGTTAGGCGAGCGAAATGCTGCCAGTCTCTGTCTGACGGGCAGCATTCGCGCGCATGGCGGAATGCGCGTGTCTGACGGGCAGCAAATGACGAAATGCCCAGCGGGCGTCGGAAATGTTGCCCGTCTCTGTCTCACGGTCAGCATTCCGCGCGCATGGCGGAATGCGCCTGTCTGACGGGCAGCCTCCGCGAAATGCGGAGCGGGTGCGCGGAATGCTGCCCGTCAGACAGTGACATTCTGCATGCGCGCAGAGGGCGGAGTGCGGCTGTCTGACGTGCAGCATTCCGCGCGAAATGCTCAGCGGGCGTGCTAAGTGCTGCCCGTCAGACAGGCGCATGGCTTTCGCACGCAATGCACAACCGCGTCAGACTGACAGGCAGCAATCGCGCGAAATGCTGTTGGGCGTCAGTATTAAGGGCTGCAGGCGCCAGAAAAGGCAACAAGGGTCAGTCTGACGTTTATCAGGCGCGTGAATAGCTGCGCCTCGCTCAGCTATGCGGTTTCCCCAACATTGCCGTCACCATCCCCGAGTCCCACAACCGCATGCTCCCCTTTCACCGTTCCCTGTTCCCCCATAACCCGTTCCCCCATTCCCCCCTCCCCCATTCCATGTTCCCCCATTCCCTGTCCCCCATTACCCGCACCCCCATTCCCTGTCCCCTCATTCCCTGCTCCCTTTCAGCCTTTCTCCCCCATTCCTGCTCCCCCATTCCCCGCTCCCCCAATCCCTGTTCCCAAATTGCCTGCCCCCCCATCCCTTGTTCCCCCATTCCCTGCTCCCCCATTCCCTCCACCCCCATTACCACCTCCCCCATTCCGTGTTCTACGGTTCCCTGTCCCCATTCCGTGTTCCACGGTTCCCTGTCCCCCCATACTCTGTACCCCCATTCCCCGTTCCCCCATTCCCCGTTCCCCCATTCCCCGTTCCCCCATTCCCCGTTCCCCCATTCCCCGTTCCCCCATTCCCCGTTCCCCCATTCCCCGTTCCCCCATTCCCCGTTCCCCCATTCCCCGTTCCCCCATTCCCCGTTCCCCCATTCCCCGTTCCCCCATTCCCCGTTCCCCCATTCCCTGCCCCCCCAATCCCTGCCCCCCCATTCCCTGCTCCCCCATTCCCTGCTCCCCCATTCCCTGCTCCCCCGTACCCTGCTACCCCATTCCCTGTTTCCCTTTTGAGCAGCCCCCCCAATCCCTGTCCCCCAAATGCCTGCCCCCCCATTCCATGTTCCCCCATTCCCTGCTCCCCCATTTCCCTGTTCCCGCATTCCCCCCTCCCCCATTCCCTGTCCCCCCATTCCCTGCTCCCCCATTCGCTGTCCCCCCATTCCCTGTCCCCTCATTCCTTGCTCCCTCATCCCCTGTTCCCCCATCCCCTGAAGATGCGTCCATTCGTGCTTGGGGCGTCCAGCTGGCTGAACGAGTCATTTCATTCGGTTATTTGCAAATATGCACCGAAGAGGGTACATTTTTGGGGGAGTATGGAAGCACGGATTGCACTCTCGATTCTTCATTGGAACAACACCGTTGAGCGACTCGTCTTGAGACATATTATCCGGATCCGCCGTGAAACTCGTGTGCGGCGTGGGAAGAAAGATCGCGTGCTCGGACCGATGAACTGGCAATGGACGCAGGAAATTTTTGCCGAGTGGCGCCGCGCATCCTCGCTGCCACATTAACCCCATCTAATCGTTCATGGGTAAATTATTTTGTGTTTTTATTGTTGAGCATTCTGTACATGCTTGTTTGGGTAACTTGTTTACTAACAAAGCCACACGGCGTTCAAAGTGTCTAAAGTGACGTTCTATATGTATCCATTCATTCTATATATGGGTCCTAGCCTCCATTTCACTCACATTATACCCGCCGACCCACCAACACACTCCTCCAACCTCCCCACCAGCCTACCCACCAGCCTACACTCCAACCTACCCACCAGCCTAGCCTCCAGCCTACCTTCCACCCTATCTAGTGCCAGTGCCAGAGGTGTGTATCAGAGGGTAGTAAGTGTGAGAGAGGGGGATAGCTAGGCGGAGCAAGGGAGTGAAAGGGGTATACCCATGGGGACTTGTGGACACAAACGGGGTATAAGTGAGGTTAGCATTGAGAAGCGTGGGGCTTAGCCGAGGGGAGTAAGGGACCGAAAGGGGTGTAGCAGAGTGGAATGAGGTAGATGGGGGGCTATTTTGGAGGGGGCTAAGGGAAGAAGGGGAAGACGGGGTGCTAAGCAGATATGGGAGTGGGGGAATAAGGATGGCGGGGAAGTGAGGGAGAGGGGGACAAAAGAACACGGAAGAGTGGTGTAAGGGGGAAAGGGAGTAGGGAAGAGAGGGAACGGGGGGAACGAGGGCGCAAGGCAGATTGCAGCTGAATTCCTCCTCTCGCCGCCGATCTGTGTCGCTTCTCATACACACGTCGACGCGAGCCGCTGATTGCTATCTTCCACCCTGCCGTGAGGGGAAGCAGGGGGGAGAAGGAGGGGAAGCAGGGGGGAGAAGGAGGGGAAGCAGGGGGGAGAAGGAGGGGAAGCAGGGGGGAGAAGGAGGGGAAGCAGGGGGGAGAAGGAGGGGAAGCAGGGGGAGAAGGAGGGGAAGCAGGGGGGAGAAGGAGGGGAAGCAGGGGGGAGAAGGAGGGGAAGCAGGGGGGAGAAGGAGGGGAAGCAGGGGGGAGAAGGAGGGGAAGCAGGGGGGGAGAAGGAGGGGAAGCAGGGGGGAGAAGGAGGGGAAGCAGGGGGGAGAAGGAGGGGAAGCAGGGGGGAGAAGGAGGGGAAGCAGGGGGGAGAAGGAGGGGAAGCAGGGGGGAGAAGGAGGGGAAGCAGGGGGGAGAAGGAGGGGAAGCAGGGGGGAGAAGGAGGGGAAGCAGGGGGGAGAAGGAGGGGAAGCAGGGGGGAGAAGGAGGGGAAGCAGGGGGGAGAAGGAGGGGAAGCAGGGGGGGAGAAGGAGGGGAAGCAGGGGGGAGAAGGAGGGGAAGCAGGGGGGAGAAGGAGGGGAAGCAGGGGGGAGAAGGAGGGGAAGCAGGGGGGAGAAGGAGGGGAAGCAGGGGGGAGAAGGAGGGGAAGCAGGGGGGAGAAGGAGGGGAAGCAGGGGGGAGAAGGAGGGGAAGCAGGGGGGAGAAGGAGGGGAAGCAGGGGGGAGGAGGGGAAGCAGGGGGGAGAAGGAGGGGAAGCAGGGGGGGAGAAGGAGGGGAAGCAGGGGGGAGAAGGAGGGGAAGCAGGGGGGAGAAGGAGGGGAAGCAGGGGGGAGAAGGAGGGGTGACAATGGGGAGAAGGAGGGGAATGGAGGAGCTGGGAATGGGGGGACAGGGAATGTGGGAGCAGGGAATGATGGAACGGGGAATGGGGGGACGGGGGACGGGGGAGCGGAGAATGTGGGAACAGTGAATGGGGGTGGGGGAATTGGGGAACAGGGAATGGGGGAATAGGGAATGGGGGGACAAAGATTGGGGGTAAGGGCATCGGGGGACAGGAAACTTGGGAGCGGGGAATGGGGGATTAGGAAATGGGGGAGCGGGGAATGGGGGAACATGGGATGGGGGAGTGGGGAATGGGGGTGAGGGAATGGTGGAGCGGGCCCATTCTGTCTTAGGGAATGCACATTGGGAATGGGGGAGCAGGGACTGGGGGAGCAGTGAATGGGGGAGCAGGGACTGGGGGAGCAGTGAATGGGGGAGCAGGGAATGAGGGAACGGGGAACGGTGGGACGGGGATTAGGGGAGCAACACATGGGGGAGCAGGGAATGGGGGAACAGGGAATGTTCGAACGGGGAAGGGGGGAACCGGGAATGGGCCGCGCGTGCTGCCCGTCAGACAGTGGCGGGCATCATTCCGTGCGCCTGCTGCCCGTCAGGCAGGGATGTCCCTCATTTCGCGCGGTTGGGTGCTCGTGCCTGTCTGACAGCCGCATTGGGCAGGGCTCGCGAATGCTGGCCGTCGGGCAGTGACGTCTGACAGCCGCTTTCCGCATAGCGCGCGAATGCCGCGCGCATGGCAGACGCATAACGAATTCTGCGCCTATACCTGCGTCCGAGCAGGACGGGCTGCATTTCGCGCATCTGCTGACCGTCTGACGTCTGACGGACAGCATGTCGCGTATGTGCTGCCTGTGAGACATGTCTAATGCGGTGAGGGCGAGTACCTTGAGGCGCCCGCTGCTGGGGGAGCGGGGAATGGGGGATCACGGAATGGGGCAGCAGGCCATGGGGGAAGGAGGAATGTTCGACATCGTCCACACCCACATAACGCTACCTAGCGGTTTCACTAAGAACGTGACAGCTTGAAACTCATGGACGTGCAGGCCGTCTGAACCCTAGTCATCAACATGGCGCATTTCGCGGTTACCTGCCATCCGCGGGTTCGCTACCTGCTTAGTCGGCGGTTTCGATTTCGGTGCGCGAGGGTCGGTGGGAAGCGCGACGACTTGCGAGACTCCGAGGTGCGTGGGCAGGCGTGGCTGGCGATCACCCTGACTGGTTTCTAAGCGCTTGTATTCAAGAGCTTAGCTTTCGCGCATGAAGCGTTACGGCCAGGGCGATCGCACCGAGACACGCAGCGCGAGATGCCCACAACGGCGGCGATCGGCGCGATTGCGAAACGCGAGAGGAGTAAGGATCGAAGGGGATGACGGTGGCTGTTGGAATCTCACTTATAAGTGAGACACTCCGGAAACGCGGATATACGCCCTGCCGGGTTTTTCAATCGAGGTGAGATGCACTCAGGGTCGAAATACAGAGTGTCCGCCGAAATGTCTAAAGTGTGTCTAAAATAGGCAGAATCTAGCTAGGCTCGGCCATAGGGCTACGTTCCCGCTAAAGCCGGCCACGGAGCTTCTCTGTTCTCTAAGTTTACGATGGGAACTAGCGGGCACGGAAATGGTCGTGTAACCCATGTCCAGCTTGAAATTCGAGTGGACCCAACTTGAATGTCCGCGCAGTCCATTGACGCTCGTGCGCACGTTTGTGACCCTGTTCACACGTAGATTTGTGTCCAGTGTTCCGTGAGTGACTGCATAGCCGGTTTGCGAGCGACGTTTGTCAGTTGCCGCAACCAATTGCAAACCTCTGTTCTCACTTCCTCAATCGCTGGCCAATCATGTTGTTGTCCAAACTTGTTTCTCCCGTCAGTTTTGTCAGACCTAACAGTAAGTTTCCCCCCATTCCCGTGAGTGACCCATGCGGCCATTCCAAGCTGGGCCGGGGGTCACAATTTTGCAGTCTCGTTTTAAGCCATGTGCTCAGTTTATGTACTGTCCGATCGTTTCGAGCCACTCCTTCGCGCGTTCGAGTTTCACCAAGTCAAATGGTTCGTTCGATCCGACCCGTCAATTGTCATTTGCTCGGGTCATCCGACCCGTCAATCAACAAGCCCAGCAACAGCAGGCGTTTCGTTCTACCTCCTCCTACTGAAACAGGGTGTGAGTAGGCCAAACAGATATATTCCATAGAATCCCGACTTCACCTCAGCAGCCGTCCGTACTGCTCCGGGATCCTGCGAGCCGCTAATACCTCGAGTATTCGAATCCTTGTGAGCGCTTGTGATTCGCCGTGCAACTGGATCTGAGAAGAGCCTGCCTGCAGGGACGAACAGTGTTCTTATAACGAGGGGCTCTTCTGGCGGTGTTTGGTCTAGTCTGCTTCCAATAGCACAACCCTCGGCGATGAACCGGAACAGCCGCAGCGAAAGCCGCGGTGACAGGCGCAGGCGAAGTATCTCAGTTGACGGAGTTCTCGGCGTTCCTAGATCCATTCGTTCGACACCGTTTCTCTGAGATTCGTCTCGTTAGAAACCTCGATTCTAGCCATTCGTCGACCCATTGGAGCACCTCGCGTAGAATAGTTCCGAGCTATCTTATACCGGGGATTAAAACCCGCAGCATTGATTCATCATGGCGATGGCATTGGCGCGCGAGCGGACAGTCTCCGCCTGCTTGCCGTCCGCCTACCGCCTCTCCTACCTCCTCCTCCGCACCATTCACCGCCATTCTTGCGCCTCCACGCCTTTCGCCACTTCCCCTTCCGCCACTCTCCGCCTTCTCGCCTCCCCCTTCCCCTCTCCGCCGATTCCCCTTCCGCCGTCTGCGCTACCCGCGCGCACGGCTGGCGTCTGCATTCCCCCTTCCTCCCCGCGCGCGCCTCACGCTCCTCCCCAGCTCACCTCCGCTCCGAATTCCGCCAAGCCCTCTATTCTAATCCCGTCCGCTTCCGCCCTGCCCCTGCACGACGCTTCCGCGCCCTCGCAACATTTAAAACAGCAAGGCACATTCCCATGCCGAACCTGTCCTCAAACCTACCGAGGTTCGGCAGGCTCGGTCCTCTTCTCCCCTGTCCGAACCTCCAGCTTCGGCATCCCCGCTGCGAGGAGTTTCACCGCAGCAGCGGACGGCGCGGCGGGAAACGCGGGGAGCCAGCAGCATAGTCCGGGAATAGTGGGCATGTCGGACGATCGCGAGGCGGCTTTAGACTCGGTAGTTAAAGTGTTCGCCGTCGCGAGCAGCCCCAACTACTGGCTCCCCTGGCAGAGCAAGCCGCAGCGCGAGGTGACGGGGTCCGGATTCGTCGTATCGGGACGGCGCATCCTCACGAGCGCGCACGTGGTCGCGGACCACACGTTTGTTCTCGTTAGAAGGCACGGATCCCCTAAGAAGTTCCTCGCTACGGTGGAAGCTGTAGCGCACGATTGCGACCTGGCGCTGCTCTCAGTAAAAGACCCCGCGAGCGTGGGGAGCGGGGAGGGGGGAATCAACGGCGGGGGGAGCGGAGATGCGCGCGCGGACAGCGAGGAGTTCTGGGAGGGCATGCGCGCACTAGAGCTGGGGGACGTGCCGCTGCTGCAGGAGTCGATCGCTGTGGTGGGATACCCGCAAGGTGCGTGCATGTTGGAATGTGGTCAACGAGATCAATGCGATGCCCACCCGCTCACCCCTCCCGCCCCCCCATAAACTCTCTCATGGCTGGACAACATGAGCATTGCTATGGGCGTGGTGTCTGTCCGGGTGACTTTTGAGTCGACTCAAAAGTCACAACATGAGCATTGCTATGGGCGTGGTGTCTGTCTGGGTGTAGCCAGCTCAATACTGGCCATCCAGGTTGACATGACAGCGCACTCACCTCTCCCTCTCCTTCCCAGCACCTTCCACCACCACCCCATGGCAGGCGGCGACAACATCAGCATCACCATGGGCGTGGTGTCACGAGTAGAGCCCACTCAGTACGTGCACAGCGCGGCGCACCTGCTGGCCATTCAGATCGACGCTGCCATCAACCCCGGCAACAGCGGCGGCCCCGCCCTCATCATGGCCCCTGCCGCCCCCGCCACCCCTGCTGCCGCCTCTGCTGCCGCCCCTGCTGCCGCCCCTGCCTCCTCTGATGCGGGAGGGGAAGGAGTAGAGGGGGAGATGGCAGAGGGAGGGGGAGGAGTGGACGGAGGATGGGGGAGTGGCGGGGAAGCAGGGGGAGGAGGGATGGGGAGAGGGGTGTGGGGGGAGGGGGGGGGAAGGGGGAGCAGGGGGGCGGAGGGGGGGCAGCAGATGGAATACCGCGTGGCAGGGCTGGCGTTTCAGAACCTGTCAGGGGCGGAGAACATTGGGTGAGTGGCTCATGTAGCAAGGTAGGGTAGAGGCAGGGGAGGGGGACAGCATATGGGCGAACTGAATGGTAAGGTTGGCGTTGGCGTTTCAGAACCTGTCAGGGGCGGAGAACATTGGGTGAGTGGCTCATGTAGCAAGGTAGGGTAGAGGCAGGGGAGGGGGACAGCATATGGGCGAACTGAATGGTAAGGTTGGCGTTGGCGTTTCAGAACCTGTCAGGGGCGGAGAACATTGGGTGAGTGGCTCATGTAGCAAGGTAGGGTAGAGGCAGGGGAGGGGGACAGCATATGGGCGAACTGAATGGTAAGGTTGGCGTTGGCGTTTCAGAACCTGTCAGGGGCGGAGAACATTGGGTGAGTTGCTCATGTAGCAAGGTAGGGTAGCAAGGTAGGGTAGCAGGGGAGCAGGGGAGGGTAGAGGCAGGGCAGAGAGGCAGGGAAGGGAGGCAGGATATGGAAGAATGGAATGACAGGGCTGGTAAGGGGAGGTGCAGGTAAGGGGAGGTGCAGGTAAGGGGAGGTGCAGGTAATGGCTTTCCCCTTGGCCCATCGCTTTCTCTCCCTTGGTTCTCATCCCTCAACTCACAAGCCCACACCCCACCCTCCAACCCCCCTCACCCCCCAGCTACATCGTCCCAGTGCCCATCATCCGTAGTTTCCTAGCAGAACGAAGCAGCGTTGGGGCACCGCCTCCCGGGCTTCTGTAGGAGCTGCTGGTGAGGGGCGCACGACAGCATTCCCCGCATGACCTCCCCACACATGCTCCCCCCCCTCCCCACCACCCTCTCTTCACCCCCCCCCCCACACAGCTACATCGTCCCAGTGCCCATCATCCGTCGTTTCCTCGCAGATGCAGCGTTGGGTCACCGCCGCTTCCCGGGCTTTGCCTCGCTGGGCGTGTCCTGCCAGCCGCTCGAGAACTGGCAGCTGCGGGCACACCTCAAG